AAAAATAAAAACGTAAAGATATCTTAACTGAATCACAAGATCTTAATTATCACAATGAGCAAAAGCTAATAACACATTTTCTGTAACATTAACCAACATCATTACTTAACCGAAACTTTTTAACAGTTAATCAACCACTCTACAGATCAATGATCGATGTGATCACGTTCATCTGCGCCGGCGCACGCGACTAGGGCGCCCTCTGCAGGGGGAGAGATTTGATGTTTCATCAACATTAGATATGGATTAATGGCCGATGATTTGCTGATGTTAATGCTTTTTCACGGTGTTTTTATATAGGTGTAATTTGTAATAATGTAATTTTTCACGTTAAGAAAACTATTTTGATTTTTCGCAATTTTAGGTCTAAGTAAAGAGTTCAGATTTGTGTCTCGCATAACTTAAAATAACTAGTGCCAAATGGGTGTTGCTTTTAAAACATGTACTAGCTTCTACCAGTGGCTTTGCCTTCGCTACATTGATGAAAAGTAGTCTATTATGTACGTTCCGTCCCGTTTCTTCTGCTGCTCTAGTCTCAGGCGCAGTCAGTCTTGCGCACTACCTTATTGCGCTTGCCTCGTAACCCCAGCTGAACATTCGTCCTGGCGGGCCCCGTGCATGATTATCTATTGGCTCTTACAGGCGCGCGAAATGCTACGCACCGTACGCTCGGGTCAAAGCCAAGTCAAAGTCAAAATTATTTATTCCAACTAAACCATCACCACTTTTGAAACTGGGCAAAATAGAATAAGTCTCTCAGTCTATTTGTCAATGAAGCTAGATGCTAGTGGGTCTGATTCAGCAGATTGAAGTCTACATGCCAGTACGACAAGGTCTGATGACGTAATACCTTATTACCTCGGATTGGAGGTGGGTATCACGACACCGTGCCGTCTCCATCCCCATCAATTTGCTCACCGGACGCCGTACAATCAGTTAATTGAACTGCACCAACAACACGCGCAGGACGATTGGGTTAGTACTATTTGTTCTCGATTTTGCTAGAGCATTGGAAGATTTTTGAATTAATTATACTCAGTAAAGAGTTAGTAATATGTCATAATATACCAAGTTTAGCATAAACTAGAAAGTTTTTTGCGCGCCATTTGAAGTAACAGAAGAATCTAAATCTAGTCTACTTTTGTCTCTTGGAAAAAAATAGGCACTTTAAACTAACACATTTAAAATCGAGTTATCTCGAAAGCTTCTCACTAGTGTATTCCTAATCGCCTAGTGGTAGTTTGCTTCACGTTAAGGCTAGCTACACGTTTATGACGTTCGACGCTTTGATTGGCCTGCTGCAAATAAACCAACCAATCAGAGGGCTGGAACGCGATAACATTTCGAATGAATGAATGAAAACTCGAACTAAACGCAAACCATTAGTAGTGGTTTACACAAACTGTAACTATACACGCTAGTGGCGTGAGATCGTATCGCATCCCCACGCCCAGCAGTGGGATAAACTTCCCAGCCAACAGGAAATTAAACGAAAAAATGAGATCACATTGTAACCAAGTTAATTTTGTTAATTTGATACAGTTTGAACTGTTTATTTGTCGATAAGTAATTAGATTTCGTACTTATTTGATTGATGTTAAGATTGGTTTTTTCTATATTGAGAGTGAATGAGGTTATTTGACGAAATAATGGTTCACGTCTGTAAGCTTGCAAAAAGAAACACTAGCATAATAGACATCTAATTACATTATTAAGTCATCTTTGCTACCAAGTCTAACACAAGCTTGATTCAAAGTTTAACCCGTTGACTGACGGTATATAAGACACAATATAAAATACAGTGTTCCTAAAAAACACGAAAGGTTTAACCTTAAAACGAATTAACTGACAGCACGTTACGCTTTACCTAAAAACGAAACGTATAGAAAGAGACCAAGAATCACCAGATTCATTTTTCATTGCATTTACTTGTACAAGTAACCAATAACAGATAATATTTACCCTAGACTAAAAAAAAGATTAAAAAAACACAATACCATTGGTCACAGATTATGTAATGACTAACACAATATTCTAAGAAGCTGCCAGCAGCGTCATACACCACACCTTCTAATTTCAAACTAAAGTGACGTCACAGATGACATTTATGACGTCATTACCACCGCTATTGGCAACTTAATGATGTCAAAACTAATTTGTGTTTACACTTCAGCATAGCGTAACAACCAACTTAATACTACACTTGAGGGTGGCGCTAGTGTCTTTGCGAAGGGACGTTGTTGTTTAACGTTTTGTTTCGTGCGTAGTTAAGTTTCGAATTTATTCACTTGAATATTTAAATTGGTATTAATAATGTGTTTATCATAATAATTACATAGTTTTAGACTGGTAGTATCAACAAACAGAAATTTGTAAAATGTAATGACAACTGATTAAATATTGTTAAATTATTATAATAATGTCAGGATTTTCTCATTTAGACTTTTGTCATAAGATAAGATTGATTGAAAAAAGTATTGAAATTATTCGATATACCTAATATGTGTTATGAGTAGATATACCTAGTACCTATTCATACTACAAAGGTCTCAAGTGCCTTTTAAAGATTTATATTTTGACTCTGCGTTGCTGGTTTGAGACAAAATACCGAACAAAAAATTAAGTTTTACTAAACGAAGGCTGTAAGACTAGTAGGAGGTCACTGGCTCCAAGCCGTCATCAACCAACTGATCTGAAAGTCATTGGAGACTGTTCAGTATTGATTATCTTATGCTTAATATACCTATATACAATTTTTGAAGTTATTTCATTTAAATCATATTTTAAAGAGGTAAAGAGATGAAATCATTAATATTAAATTACTATAACTTCTGGTCTGGTAGAACGCAGAACTAATAAAGACACAACATATTCTCTATAATGCCTCATAAAGCGGCAACCGATAGCCAAATAAATATCCGTCATAGACACCAGAAATACAAACGTCAAATTGCCACGAAAAAAAAAATACAAAAGACGGACATAAAACTCGTTCGAAATTCAAGTCTGTCTATAAAAAAAAACATTGACTATTCGCCGCGTATGAGTAGAAAGAGTATGGCCGAGTATGGCCCACGCAAATATATTGACTTAACACAACCATACACCTAGTAACAACAGCATAACGATGTTTGCCCACTCTCCCCCGAGATATGACGTGACGTTTTACGGGAATTAAAAACGCTGCCCAAACCTCCCCTTTAATATCTTATATTTGGTTGATTAAAATCTCTTTAGAGAGACTTTTTTTGTTGCGCTGTTATGATTAAGTGATGAGGGATTGAGGTTATTTTTATTTGTGGGTGGAATTTGATACTTGTAGGAAAAATGTAATTGCGAAAATAATAGTTTTTTTTTTAGTACAGTTTTACTGTTATATTGGGTGTTTGGAAACTATTTTATTCGGATTACGATGGTTTTAATTTGGCGCAGGGTGCAGAGCTGGAAATACGAAACTTAAGATGATTAACATGATATTAATTAGTTACTTATAAATTTCGATCATACGATTTCATATTTATCGTGGCTAAGTACATTTTGTGTCCGCGGTTAGTGTTACCTACCTAATAGAATACTGCTTAAAAGTTTTTTATAAAATGAAGTTTTAAATAAAATAACGGGAATAAGTCGTTTAGAATCTACCGTACATAAATTTTGTTTAGTCCGCTTACCTAGGTAACAAACAGATATTATTAGATAGGTACACATGATTGATGATTTAAATACATCAGAGTATCAATAAAATAATAAAACCAACTATTTATTCACTTCCTGACCACCTGGTAATCAGTGGTACAAAATAACAATGGCGTCGAATTTCCGAATGGAATAAAAAATGATCTGTCAAACGGGGAAGTTTCCCGCCAATTTGGCGGTGGTTCGCGCCCTCACTACTTAGGGTGGCCATTTGGTGGAATAATTATTGTTGTTCTTTTCGTTGCTGGGTGCATATTTGATTATGATTTGATTGCTCGATGGTTATAGCAGGGAGTTCGTTTTTAGATTAATTGTACGTAATATGATAAATTCTGGTATTGTGTCAAATTCGTAATAATTCCTTTGATTACGAGAATCTAACAAAATTATTAAATAAATCGCATAATAGACAGGTGATGTTATTTAACATAAGTAGTAATTACAAACTTATACAAACATTTCAGATTATATTTACCGTAACTTCTCGAAATATCAACACAAAAAGGTCAAAAATACGTTCTGAATAATGAAATAATTGAAGTGTTAATCTACATCAACAATATCAATAAGTCTACAACAATATTGTCACGCCCTATTACGTAAAATGTAATCTCATAAAGATCCGGTTACCCTACTATACACACCCTCGCAACGAGATTAATAGGCTCGTGTTTAGACCGCCGTCGTCATGGCAGCCGGGGTGATTGTCAATCTGTCCGTCCGCCCCCTGTGGCACGCCTAAATACCACATCTCAGGGGGAACGTTGACTTATCTGGCAAAACTGACATTTCGAGATGGTGAAAGGTTAATTGAGTTTTTATTTATTATTATCGGTTGCAATTTTATTTTTAGCGCAATTCTTTTTTCCTCTGTACAAGATAAATGGCTGCAGTTTAGGAAAAATGTAACGATTTATTCTAATTAATATTTCTTATTATACATAAAAATTAAATACTGTTCTTTAGTCTAGCTAAAATTCGAGAACAACTGGATTGATTTGGCTGATTTTGGTCTTAAAATATTCGAGGAAGTTCAGAGAAGATTTGAAAGGTCAGAAAACTGTAGTTTATTTTGAGGCAGAACGAATTTTGCCGGGTTATCAATTCTAATGATATGATAGAGATATAAATATGACTAAGTAAACTTTTTGCTTCTAAATTAGTACAATCCAAAGAAGTCCAAATCGATAATGGAAACAATCTGTCACAACCCGTCAAAGTCAAATAGCAGTAAAATAACAACAATCCACTGACAAACTTTCGGCTTTTCTCTTTAAATTTTCCGTTAAAAATATCTTGAAAAAATGGCTTCGGAACAAAAAAAGAACGCGCCTGAGAATAAAGAGCGGAGTTTACAGAAACAAAATATTCCCGTACAACTAACAGACTTGTCCATTTTCGACAACACATTCGCGTTTATGAAAGAACAATTCGCCGAGGAAATGAGACGCATAGAACAGCATATGAGCAAATTGAGGTAATTTTTTTTTATTAAAAATAGTTTTTAAGTTATACAATGCAAACCAACAGACTGATTTCCTGATGGCAAGCAATCGACGCTGGCCATGGACACTAGAAGAGTTGCCGGCCTTTCAGGGATTAGGGTTACGGTGATTTCGAAAGGATGGAGGCAGAGACGGATTGGACCTTCCGTAACCTCGCTCATATTATGGCTAACTCAACACTGGTTGTCTCATGCTGAGTTTCATGGTATCATTCCGGTCGAGCCTGCCTAGTAGTGCCGAAGCATGGCTCTCCCACAGTTAAAGGTATCTTATGAGGCACCTAAGCAGTACACAAAAGATAATAGGAGTATAAGAATCTTTAAGAGGGTAGTATTCTCTAAGAAATTGCACTTTGCAACCTGCCAGCTTGTCGTCGATTTTGGCAAAACTCCTCTTTAGGGGTAGGTCTATTGATAGCCAGCTAGCTGTGATAAATGTTTAAAGCACTATACTTTATCAATACCCAAGCGAACGTCGGCGTTCCGGGACCTATTGTTCTTCTATTGGGCCTCAAATTACCTCAATTGAAAGGTTACTTTCGTATTTTACAGCAATGATCTAAGCAAGCTTTACGGTCAGACTTCAACGGTTCAAACAGGTATTGTGCAGAACGCTGATAATGTGCTTTCCAATTGGGACGTGCTTACCAATTCACCCCTAGTTCAGGGCGAGGGCGAGGAGAAAAAATTGAAGTTACAATTTGATGTCAGCCAATTTGATCCTACAGAGGTAAGGTTATGTGTTCATATTAACGCTTAAGCTTAGGTTATGTTTGGCCGTGTAAGCATGGTTACCGGAGGCCCAATCCTTCCTTTCCGTCCTCAATCCTCAATTCTAAAATGCTTTATCCTTAGATCCCTAATAACTTTGTTAACTCTTTTCGTATGACGACTGTCCATGGGTGCTGATTGCTTTCCGTCAGGTAATCTGTCAGCTCGTTGACCAACCTATGACATAAAAAAATGCCTTGGGTTTTCAGGTTTTCCATGTCACACACTGACAAGGCATTTTTTATGCAAATGCGAATATAAAATCAATTGAAATTATAGATAGGACGGCAAACTAGCAGACGTATTACCTGGTGGTAAGCAATGGTAAGCATCCGTAACAACGAAGGAATCACAAGTGCGTTGCTGGCCTTTATGGGATTATAGTTTTGGGTTGTTTTTTTACGCCGGTTTTCTGTGAGGCCATTGTATCACTCCGGTCTCCCGCACTTACTTCTGATTCTGTCATACTTCTTAATCTTTTTAGATAACTGTAAAAGTAACAGACGATTTGTTAATCGTCTCAGCGATCCACGAAGAGAAGACTGACGACTCAATGGTCTACCGAGGGTATAATAGGGAGTTCAAGCTTCCTCCGGGAATAGACCCTGAGCAGGTTTTATCTTCATTGTCTCGAGATGGAGTCCTCACGGTTGAGGCTCCACTACCGAATTTAATGCTAAAACAAGACTAAAAGCAGAAGACAATTTGAAGAATACAAGGCAAAGAAGAAGACAATTTTAAGAATAAAGTAAGTTATTCTAATATTCAAGTGTTTCTTTTGGTAATTTTGATATTATAAGCATTATCGTCATTATCATCGTATCTTTTTATACGTTGCTTGTCATGTAGTACTAATCTTCGAAATAGTATATAAATCTCTATGGGTTTCTTTACAAAGACGGCACTGGAAGGTACATTCTTCATATATTATGGTAAACTCCCCATCCCCAATATCTTCATTCACAATTCTCAAATCCTTAACCTCCAAAATCGTTTGTTAACAGCGGCGCCTGTTGCTTACCATCAGGTGATAGTCAGCTCATTTGCCAAACTTTCACATGATTTCTCTCCTTTTGATATGTTTATACTAGAACCTAGTATATTTTTTAGGTAAAGCGTAGATTTATTTCAGCCGGGGTTGCGGATACAAGGGCAACAAAGAACCGCGGTCCCGGCTCGCAGCTTTAAAATTATTGGGAGACATTCATTGACAGGAGGGTGGTTTTTAGTCAGTAATGACACTCCTTCTCGGAGCAAGACAAATCATTTGATGACTTTCTTCACCCCAGAAAACCTTCGTAATCCGTAATTCTCTTACCGTAAAACGGGGTGAATAGATACACGAAAGGGGTGAATAGATGTCGGCAAATTTTCCTAGTATCAACAACAGGAATCCAATAGCATAATATTATAAAAGGTGTATAATAAAAAACTCAACATTTTACCTTCTAACATACACGTACATTGTCAGCAATAACAGCGCAGTGTATAAAGAAAACCCTTAGTGTCATCAACTGGCGTCAACTTGCCTCTTTGTTATGATTCTACACAAAATCGATAGAGCAAACACCTAGAGAAGCGTCCTATCGACCGAGCTCTGCGTTAGTATAATTTAATATCCCTTGATAGTCAGAATGGAAGTATTAATAGAGTTTCTTGCTCGTTCTTCTCCATTCGCATACACTTTGGAACGAGCTTCTAGCTTGACTGACCAACTGACTGACAGACTTATTCTATTTTGTCCTTTCAAAATTACCTATGGAATAATTGATTTTGATTATGAATGACAACAAGGAATAAAGTTAATTTAGTTAGGATTTATTTAAATTAGAATACTGTTTTGGAAGTCTACAAAGCATATGTTTGCATAATTATACATATTGTATCTAATTTGGGCTAAAAATCACCGTTGGTAATATTTTTTTTATTGTTTATTAAAAGTAAAGTCTAGAAATTAGCGTTTTATCTTCGTATCATAGTTAGAAATCCCTCAAATCGACATGGAAATCCTGATAATCTGAAGCCTAGTTAATGAGCCGATGAACGAGGGAGATGACGAACTTTCGACATTGGTGTGGGCGTCTTAAGTTAATAAAGGGCATTGACCTTGCCTACATAATAATATGTAGTATTCTCACTCAGCTTAAATTCGATTTTAAATAAATATTTTTTACACACGAGAGAACCATTCTTCAATACGACTGTGCGGCTCGACCAGAGTTGTGTCAGTTGTGTGTTGTGTTTCGCCGTGTGAATGAGGTTTACGGTGGATTCCGCCCCCTCCCTCATCCCCAAAAGGTCAGCAACGTACTCGTAACTCCGGAAGTCTATTGGCGCTGATTGATTACCTACTAGTGTCGTCGGTAAAGCGTCTACTAGTGTCGACCTAACAAATAAAAAAAGCAAACACTGTTCAATCCTCAATTAAGAGGAATATAATTAAACTAACTAAGACTTGTACATTATTATGTGTATCAATATTATTAAAAGAAAAATAGGTTAACGACTCCTCGCCTTTGTTCCAAACAAATCCTATTCATTCTTTAACAAAAACATTAATAGGAATATAACTAAACTTATCAAAACGTATATGTATTTGCAGTCTTATTTACTTGAGAAAATAGGTTCAAACTACTCTCCTTTGTTGTAAATGAGTCAGAAATCCCTGTATAAACTCGATCCTCATTCTGCCTACAATCCACTTGTGTCATAGGTAATATGTTGTATGTGTGACACAGCTATATGAGTATATGTCATGACGCTACGTCAGATAAAGAGCGACCTAAAACACGCACACTAGCGAATTGTGATGATTTAGGTGTGTGATACAATGGGATATAATTCTACAGTCTAGCAGTGTCTAAAGGAAAACAATCTTGGTATGTCTTTTCATATTAAAGATGTCGTATTAAATAGGTACATTTGAATATTATTTTAGTTTAGTTTTTCAGCTAACATTGTTACAGAAAAATATCAGATTGTAAAATTTTACACATTTTTTTTAGATAAAAAGAGAGTAGTAGTAGAGTCTACAAGACTGTGAAATATGTAGTCATAAGCGTTAATTTTCTTTTTGCTTTAGTTTTCTGACTTTCTTCTCTAGTAGGTATGTAAAGCCTTGTTGCTGCATATAAATACTGAAAAAATATGACATGACCAATACGAAACCCTAAAATCATTTGTGAATTGTCTCGGGGTCACTATCTTTATCAATAAGATACTGACCCGAATCTCCTTTATATCGAAGCTACCTTTAATTTTAACGTCGTCTTAAAAACGATTTAAATATTTTTGTATGTGCTTTTAACAAACTTTTCACTGAAGTTCCTTCAAACAATATTGTTTGGTGGACTGTGGATACATAATATTAGGCAGATTTTCGCTTAAATTTACATATTCCTGGTACCCAGTGCGCCTCTCACCTTACCAGGTCACCTGTACATTCACACGGTTGTCTGTGTGCGTCGTGTAGATAAAAGGCGGCGTGTTGATGCGGCGCGTTGCCATGGCAACCGCCCCTGCTTCCCAGAAGAGCCGATGTGCTATGTGGTAGTTAGATCGTTGCGGATTGCTTTTTATGAATAGCCTTTATATAAATGTGTGCGTGAAATTTCTTTGTAGTGCCTTTTAAGCTATTTTGTCTTGCTTTTAGGGGTGTTTCTAAGTTAGTGACTTGTTGAAATCGTATGTCTATAGGGCGTGTCATTTTCTAATAGTCAAGGTAAAAATCACGTCCGGTAAATTTGATACAGAGGTATTCGAGAAAACTTAGTATTTCATATATTAGGTACCACCAGACTATTACCTTCCGTTGTTTCATCAGAACCGCTAACGAGTGGAATTGGTGGATTTTAATCGTGTGATACCACGGTCTTACAGAACCAACGTGGAAGAATCAAACCGTTGCGTTTCGCCGTGTTAGTGAGGTTACCGGAGGCCCAATCTTTCCCCTCTCCCAATCCCTAAATCTGCAAATTGCTAACCCCCAAAAAGTCGACAACGCACTCGTTACGCCTCGGTTGTTGCGGGTATCCATGAGCGGCGCAGATTTCTTAGCATTTGGTTATCGTGCTCGTTTGACGACCTGTCTCATAAAAAAAATTAAACGGACCAAGAAGAATGTTTACTTAAAAAATATTTAACTCCAATGACTATGATTCATACAACAATGCCAAATCATAAAGCTAAAAACAAGACTGCTAACCCTAATATTTTTTTCACAAAAACCAACAAGACACGTCGACCGATCGCGTTGCATAAAATCAATAACACCCCTAACACCTGTATCATTACGGTGTTTAACGCTAGGGGGCGCCACACATGTCCGATTTCACCTTTTGTTGCGTTGATAACTCCCCTCGATCCGTGGCGAATTGTTGAGTAAAGTCGAATGTTCCCTTATTTGTAATTAGTCGGTTGATATATCTGTGGCCGTGGATAAAAAATCAATGTTGTTAATGTTATGGATGCGGTTTTGTCTGTGATTGATGTTTTTCAGTCTTCCAGAAGTTGACTGAAAATATTTTAATTCATCAAAGCCCAAGTGAACGCCGGCGTTCTTCCATTGTGTCTCGAATCACGATAAAAGGTTAATGTGATTTAGTACGCTGATAAACGACTTATAGACAATATCTGGACTGGAGTTAATTCATTAGAGTATTTGTTGCTAGTCCTGGTTGGCTGCAATGCTGATACTAAGAAAATTTCTCCATTATTGGAGATTGGAGATATTCTTTGGCCTCTCGTACGCCGCCTAAATAACCGGGGCAAACCATATTACAATCTATTGTTTTCTTCTATTTTTATTTTATATTCACCAGTTTTTTTACTAACAATTTTAATCATGTAAAATCATGCCTATAATTAATATAAGAACAAATCTATAATTCTTTGAAAAATCCTCTCGGATTTTCCTTATTTATTTTATTTATTTATTTATTAAGCTTTATGCACACAAACTTCTGTACATAGGCGGACTTAATGCCGTAGGCATTATCTACCAGTCTGACCTTTGGGTGATGCAGAGATGAGTAAAAACGGTGAGCGCAAGCAGCAAAATTTTTTAAAGATTAAAGACAAAAATAAAGACTCAATACAATAATGTATAACTTTAAACAAATTATTCTTATCGATGTCAACGATAAATGACTGACTTAGTACATATTTTCATTGGTATCTATCTTATATAAAATATAAGTAGGTAACTACGATCAGATAAGTATGCCATTGTAAAGATTTGTGAAAGAGATTCATTTCTACCTAAAATAAAGTTTAGAATGAATATATGTAGATACCTAATAGGAAAATTGTGAATTAAAACAATCTTAAAGAACAAACAACAGAATATCTTATCGATCATAAACACAGGTGTGAGATAAATACAAAATGCTAGTCTGGTTTTATTTTTAATAATGATCTCGATGTTATTAAGCGAAAATACAAAATTAACGAATATTTTTCCTGGTAGCTACTTAGATAACTAACGCAGGATTAATTAAATTTAACCTGTTATATACCTAAATGTTACTATCTGCTCGATATCTGTAAAACTTTTTAGAACGATGAAGTAAACAATAGAAATACAGCTATGTTATACCTACAAATGTACACAGTGCCGTCGTAAGGGCCACTGACACCCCGAGCGAAAATATCGTGGCGCCCACTTAAGGGAAGCAATATCAAGTGTTAAAT